AAAAACCGATTGTGGTCAGTGATAAAGCAGATATCTACCGCGCGTCGGCTTATAGCTCATCTCCTTAAAATTTATAAAAGAGGTGCTCCACTCTGATGTAATATAAGTAGCAAATATTATTCCAAAAGTCCCTGTCTTTTCATTATTTTAGTTTATCTTTCTTTTTTCATTACTCTATTCTTATCATTTCATTACTCTAGTTTGTGCAGTTTAACACAAGCTCATCATATAATTGGCGGTTAGGAGGCTGTACTGATGATTCCCACTCTCACCCGCATGTTGCGACCGGTTTTTTACAGCTAAGGGATGAAACACGGACTGCAGCCAAACATATCTTCATACACACATGATAATCTGGACCTTATCTCCTAATCTCTTATTTCTGCAGGCTGAGCAAGTGATGGAAGCGCTTGGAATGGATCCATCGATTGAGTTAAATGAACACGAACTACGTATCGCCACCCAATTTGTTCAGTGCGATCAGGTTAGCTGGATCTCGATCTCTTGGAACGGAGCGCCTGAAATCGAAGGGCTTTTTTTTCTATTTGTTTATGCTTTCTCATGCACAGGTGCTGCTGTTGCTTTGCTGAGGATGCGTCTCATTTCAGGGTGCTGATTGGGCCGATATTGGTGGATGCGATGAGATCGTCGAGGAGATCAACGATCGCATTATTCTTCCGTTGAAAATTCGAAGTCTGTATAATATATCGTCGAATCTGCTCTCGCCACCCAAAGGTATGGGTTGTTCGGCTGTATTGTTCCAATGACACTTCGTTGTGCACCGGTAGTTCTTCCTTTGATGCTAGCAACGCCGGACCATTCGGGTTTTCTTTTTTTTTTTCCCAGTCTTCCTGAAAAAAACTGCTAGTTTTAACATTCAAGCGCTACCAGAACAGTTTGTGTAGCACATGTATTCGTCGAATCGTACAGTATCCAAGGATGCAAGAAACATATTCTAATGATTAGGTGGTATCGCGACCCAAAAAGTTAATTTGCTTCCTTTCCTCATCTCATTCTTGCCTTCTTTCCTCATCCTTTCCTGCTTTCTGTCTTCAATACTCCTTCGATAATCCAAGGTCAACCTGGATGCTACGCAATCGGCTTATCTCCCGTTCCGGCCGAGCCGAGTTCAGTAGTTGACACAATTATTGGATGTTTCAGGTGTACTGCTTTACGGTCCACCGGGCTGTGGCAAGACTTTACTTGCAAAAATTATCGCCCGTGCAGCGAATGCCCGATTTATCAATCTGCAAGTATCGTCACTCTGCGACAAGTGGTATGGTGAGTCGCAGAAGCTTGCGGATGCTGTATTCTCGGTGGTTTGTGTCTTTGGTCCGTTATCGAGCATGTGCATCATACAAAGAAATATGATTAGCGCAGTTGTTTTTGCACCAGTAATATTATTAATTATACCAAGACCGCCTGAGTACAGTTGACATGCGGATTCTATGTTAGTGATGTTACCGAACCACTCATACACCCCGGGCATAACTATGCCAGGCCCTTCGATCTTGAGATGTATATCTGCAGTTAGATGTAGCAATGCCACTTCTTACGGATATTGTCCAAGTGGTCGTTTACTTTCTCACGTGTACCACGTGGTAATGCGCAATATCTACTGATTGTCAGCAATGCGAGCAATAGGCCCTCAAGCAGCAACAGCAGCCTGTTTTCGCTTCCTTAATAATTTCCAGCTGGTTCCCCACAGTCCCACCATCTGCATGTGTAAGCTAAATTATGCTGTATGCTTTTTCGCGGCCGAAATTTCGAATTAAACTTATAAATTATTTGATAAGCTTTCGACACTTTGGCATCCAAGGCCAACCGGAATGCCCCAATCGGCTTATAAGGTAAATCATTGGGAGCGTGAATGATTAGTTGAAGGTTAGCAGTCGACTACAAAAGCAGTTGTACTGTCGAAATTGTAAATTAACAAATTACTTTTTCATTGATTTATAGCATCAGCCTGGCTCAACCAAACAGTCATAGTTCAAAAATTGTTTTTTACCACTCATTTCTGCAGCTGTTCAAGTTCTCTTTTTTGGGACGGAGGTAGTGATAAATTTGGTCCTAAATAGTCACGAGAGTTCGCACGAAAAAGATATATTTGTGCAGATTTAGCCAACTTTTTTTTCCCCTCTGAAGCTCCCCGCCGTACATTATCATTCAAAATTCCGTCTTTTTCAGGCACAAAAGTTCCAGCCGACAATTATATTCATTGACGAGATAGGTAATCTCAAGAATTTTATTACTTTTCAAAAATCCATTGGTTTTTCACTGGTTTTCAAATTCAAACTGTTTTTAGATTCGTTTTTGAGGGATCGAGCCGCGCATGATCATGAAGCCACTGCCATGATGAAAGCTCAATTCATGTGCTTATGGGATGGCTTTACATCAACAGGTACCTCGTACATCACTTGTGTATTTGACTTTTTCGTTCCTTTATTTGTAATGTCGTTTCTGATTGTATGTGTTTCTTTGACTTCCATTCACTTCTATCCACTTATCTTTATATAAATGTATGAACAGGCTTAAGGCAGTAGCTGGAATAAGCGCTGTTTTTTTTACCGTCAGCTTCTGGTCCTGTGCGCAGAAATCCATAGGCGATCTCCATCTTCCAATTCTAAACAAATCTAGGTTGACCAAAGTTGGGAGCGCCTGCTAGAAACTGCAGTTCAGCTGCGAGCATCGTTTTTGAAGGAAAATATCCCAAACTGTTAGATAAATTATACATTTTGAAGATGATGCGATCATAGTGCTCGGAGCCACTAACAGGCCAAGAGACGTGGATAGTGCCATTTTACGAAGAATGCCTGCTCGATTTTACGTCCCAATGCCTGTAAGTCCTTTCGGAATTGCATTGCAATGTTTTCTGGTTTTGCCAGTTCAGTTTTTATGCGTTTTTTGCATCTTTACAATGCAAAAACGCATATTGTTGAGGGATTGTCTGTATGTGTGTCTGTATATGCGTTTTACCGGTTTTCCTTTTTGAGACCCAAAAAAGCTACAAGGCTGAAACTTTCGGAACTTAATATACAAGCAAATGCGGGCCTATATCCCCAAAATGGGTGCTCTTATCCACGTGGTTCCCAAGTACAGGCCCGTGAAAGTTTCTGCGGGTAAGTTGCCAACTCGAAAAACTGGGGAGCTATAAAGCTGGAATTTTAAGGATATGTTCCCTGACCACATACAATCAAATAATATCAAAATCATTCTCTAGGTATGCGTAGTTCTCACGTATGGGCCCATGAAAATTTTTGGCAAGTAAGTTGCTAGCTCGGAAACCAGAAAAGCTAGAAACCTGAAGTTTTAGGGGAATGTTTTCTCACGGTCGTGGTGGCCAGTCTCAGTTCTTTCAGCTAGAAGCATCTGCCGGGAAAGGCAGTGTTGTTAGCGACAAAAACCTGCGGGGAAGTCTGCTAAAAATGCATCTTCGTACCGGCAGTCGGTACGCTGACCAATTGCTGTTTCTGGATCCCAAGCACGCATCATGCAAGATCATCCCCGCGGTCCCGCTGCAGCACTGAAAGCAGCTTTTAATATGCCGTGATTTCAGGATTTGCAATCGCGTATTGACATACTGAAGGTCTTGCTCAGGGATCAACCACTGGTGCCAGAGACTAATCTCGAAAAAATAGCGGAATATGCGAGTGGATTAAGTGGATCTGATTTAAAGGAAATTTGTCGTTTGGCTGTATCATCACGCATTAAAGAAGCTTTTGTGAAAGGACTGGATCTGTAAGTAGTTCGAATTTTTCAGCGTATTTTCTGTTTATCACTGCCAATTCGTACTGCTCTTATCTTTCCCTGGTGTTCAACCGCATACCAAAAAAGCTTGCCTTTTGCAGGAACGATGAAAAAACGCGTACAGTCCGTGAAGATGATTTAATTGAATCAGTGCGAAAATATAAGCAAGCAGCAATTGTTTCTGATAAGATGCCTGTTTTTGTGCCTCTTGATTGACTTTTCAGCCCTGTTTCCAGGACCAGTTGCGGTAACAAGTGATCGTTTATGGGCCTCTTGTCTTTATTCAAACTCCATTGAAATTGCGCGTCTGAAACTGATGAATCTTAAAAACATACGCCTTAGATCAGTCAAACTATGCACTTTTACTGCAAAAAAATGGCCTATTCATTTTCCAGCACCTCGTACCTCTTCGTTGCCTTTGTGATGTTTTCCTGGCCAATTCCGCTCCTGGGAAGTATTCAAAATCGAATTGCAGACGTGTCGACATCTCCTAATTCTTTTTTTGTAAAAATATATTGTTTTATGATGCTTCCTATGTTTTTTGTTATTCTATTGTCTCAGTTGATTAATCGTGCGAAACGGTTATCAGTGAGATGCGATCGTGCACCGCCTCAACTTAGGCTGTGTTCAGAACGCCATGGTAATGTTTACGGTTATATTCAGTGAGACTGTTGTACTTTGTTGAATTTGATAAAATGACGGGCCACATAACAGCACGTGTTTTTTCTTTTTTTGCATCTATGCAACGCAAAAACGCACATTATCGAGGGGGGTTGTCTGTGTGTTCATCCATACCGATTTTTCATCTCGAAACCTACAAAAGCTGCAGGGCTGAAACTTTGGGAACTTGATCTGCAATGCATTTACGGGCCCCAACACAAAAGTGGACGCTCTTGCCTACTTGGTTCTCATGTACGGGCCTGTGAAAGTTTTTGGCGGGTAAGTTGCTGATCCAGGTACCTGAAAAGCTAGAAAGCTCGAGTTTTAGGAGGATTTACCCTGCTCACGTACGATCAAATAACTTTAAATCTAGCCCCCAGATGTGCGAGGTCTTCACTTGCGGGCCGGTCAAGGCTGTTGGTGGATGAGTTGCTAACTCGGGGACCAGAAAAGCTAAAATGTTGAATTTTTGAGGAGATGTTTTCTGACATTTCCGGTGGCCAGTCTCAATTCTTTTAGCTAGAAACTAAACAGTGCCGTTAGCGACAAAAACCTGCGGGGAATTGTGCATCTTCACACCGGCAGTCGGTATGCGTTGGCCAATTATTACTGTTTTAGAAATGTAAAATGATGACAGTTTTATTCAAAATCCATAACTTGACATGAGTTAAACACAAGTTTCGTGTCGAAACGATCAAAAAAAAAAGATCAAACAGGGAACGAGTCGTCCAGCAAAAACGAATTTGAAAACAGTGCTTACGAAAATAAGAGTGAAGAAAGGTTTAAAGTGAACAATGGAACCATGAACAAGACAAATGAGGTTGTGGAATGTTGAAATGAGCAATGGGGTTTCCTCTAAATAAAAAATAACTCTGGAACCCAAATGCACGATATCTTCTCACAAAATTCCACCTTACCATTTTCCCAGCGTTTGTTTCTGTTGAATTTACCGGACAACTGTGATGCCTTCAATTTTTTCCGTTTTTGCTTGAGATTTTTCATCCATTTGCTGGGAGGGTGGTTT